ATCAGTAATTAGTTTATGGCTATAAGTGGTTACATTTTGTTCATAATGGTGCTTCACTTTTGACTAAGGCCATCAGCTCTGAACAAATGAGACATCTGTTTAGAATGAGATCATTTTTGTCATCAACCCCCTACAACATCAATTCCTTACATAACTCAGAATAAAAAAAAAAATGGCTCCCCACTTTTCTAAAGCTATATCTGCTCTTATCGTTTATTTATAATATGACAATACGTAACACTCCTGACCCGACTTCACCATCCACTTCATGCTGCTTCCTCACCTAAAATAGAACCAGTCAGATTTTGACAGTATGGAAAACCAAAATAGAGCGGATGGGTGGTAAACACCTCACCATAGAAGAATAACAATAATAAGTGGAAGAAGAAGAAAGAGGGGGAGTAGGAAAGTTATTTATATTTTTTTTCATAGAAAGATTTTCAGCCTTCCTGGTCACTTGAAATGTCTAGTATTCGGTTGAACTGAATAAACTTTGTTATCCTTAAGGAAACAACTGATGACTGGAACAGATATGTCTAACTGTGACCTATTACAAACACAAAAATCAATATATCAGACAATGAGCTACTCTATGTGCACCTACCATATACAATATCCTCCAAAACTATTGGAACAGCAAGGCCATCCTTTTATTTTTTTTTTCTATACACTGAAGACATTTGAATTTGAGATCAAAAGATGAATATGAGATGATAGATCAGATTTTCAGCTTTCATTTTCTAATATTTACATCTAGATGAAGTTAATCAGCTTGGAACATGGCACCATTGGTGGCAGACCACCCAATTTTTAGGTGAGCAAAAGTATAGGAACAGATAGTCATAAAGTAGGTTAAAGTAATAAATGTTGTGTTGGCAGTGTGTTTTTGGTCAGTATCTTGCTGCATGATGAAGTTCCTCCTAATTAGATTAGATGCCTTTCTCTGTAAATTGGCACACAATGTTTCTGTAGACTTCTGAATTCATTCTGCTGCTGCCATCGTGAGTTCCATCATCAATAAAGATTAGTGAGTCCGTTCCAGAAGCAGCCATGCAAGCCCAAGCCCTGACACTACCTCCACTGTGCTTGACCTATGAGCTCATATGTTTTGGATCTTGAGCTGATCCTTTCTTTCTCCACACTTTGGCCTTTCCATCACTTTGGTAGAGGTTAATCTCAGTTCCAGAACTTTTGTGGCTCATCAGAATTTCAATCTGGCCTTCTGATTCTTACGGCTGATGAGTGGTTTGCATCTTGTGGTATGGCCTCTATATTTCTTCTCTCAGAGTCTTTTTTTGAAAGGTGGATTGTGATAACTATGGTTTCTGATACCCATGATACCCCTGCCACTGCTCTAGCCACTGACTGTTGTTTTTGGGTTTTTCTTCACAGCTCTCACAATGTTTCTTTCATCAACTGCTGGTGTTTTCCTTGGCTGACCTGTTCAGTGTCTGGGTGTTGGTACATCAGTGGTTTCATTGTTTTTCAGGGCATCCCAAATGGTTGTACTGGCTATGCCTGTAGCATTACAATTTCCCTTCACTGGAACTAAAGGCCCCAAACCTGTTCAAGTGTCCACACACATTTGTCTATATAGTATAGTAGGTGTATATTCACTGACTAGCCTGTCTATGTGAGATGCACACTCTCAGTGTTTTTTTTTTTTTTTTTTTTTTTTTTTTTTTTTGCTTGCCCACAATATTGTGTAATGAATTTAGCTGGCTTAGTTTAAACCACTGCAACCAAGCAGGGACTAAGGATGAATTAATATTTATTAATAGTGCTCCTCCTATTCATATCTGTATTCGTATGTATATATGAATATATGTAATGTATTCATATTTGGCTACATCTTTAATATACATGTAGATATATATTGGTCAAAGTTTAAAAAAAAAAAAAAAAGGTTTAACACAAATGTAGCTTATCATCATTTTTTGAAACATTTGAAGTTATAATTGTATAGTTATTTTAAAAGACATTGTACTTTCTTTTTTTAAATATGTAAACACCTATATGAGAAAACAAAGAAATAAGAATAAAATTATATGCTGTGATATTTATGCATATTACATATTTTCCTTGTTGACGCATATACACAATGCTCTCCACAATTATTGGCACCCTTCTCAGAAACAAGCAAAAAATAGTATATAGAAAGGATAACCCACAAGAGTGGTGGTTGCAGTTGTGTTTTAAATAACACAGGGTGCTCGTTCAAGGAGCTTCACAATATCTAATAAAATAACACTGAAGTGGTAAAGACTATTGGTTGAGTCGTGGGACTCCAAGATTGCACCAAAAGCCTGGTCATCCTGAATCAGTTCAGTTTAATTAGCTTTATTGGTGTGACCATATACAGTTACAGTATTGACTGTACAAGTCTTACCATTTTTTTTTTTTAACTGATCAGGCACAGAGGTGCATGGAATAGCGTCTCAATCCCCTACCTGAAGTGTGTAGGTAATCTGAGAGGTGAGCACAAGGAGATACCCCTGGGAGCCCGTACATCATAAACTTCCTTGCTGCTAATATCAGAAATCAGGAAATGTGCTGAGACAAGAGGGGTGTGTGTGTGTAGGGGGGATCGAGGAAGAGAGTCTGCATCATTACATGGAGAGATAATGGAAGCACATCGATTGCTCTCAGCTGGGATTCCAATTTCATGTTTAAAACAGCACCAATCCTCATTAGGCAGGCAGCCATCGGGGGCAAGGACACGGTGGAAGATAAGAGTAGAGTGGAAAGAGACGAATACAGAATGTAATGGAAACTGTATTTCAAGTTAGTCTTCTTATAAAGACTTTATTATGCCTGTTTCATCTAGTTCAGGTGACTATTCATTGGTCTACAAAAAATAAAATTAGGAGTAGGGGTTATGGCGAGGTTGGTCAATATTTGTGGCATGATCTAAAGTAATGAATATTTTGGTTTATTTAGTTATTTGTTTTTAAAGCAGGAAAATTAAACCTGGTGTTCACTGTGGCTCCTGGTATTACCTGCTATTCAATTTAAAATATCTACCATGGAACAAACAAAAATATACCCTTTAGCCCAGGGCTTTCGAAACATTTTGTAGCCAGGGACCCCTAACTGTAAAAGAAAATAAGTTCCTTCCACTGACCCCCTCAGTACAAATTCATTTCAACACCATTATGTAAATGTGAACAACAAATGTGAGCATTCCAATCCCTAACCTTCCACTGAATGGATGGCCTACTTTTTTTCTTTAGTGAGGTTTGCATTAATCCTATTCAGTTCAAGGAACCAGTCGAACGGCTAATAACTACAAGAACTCAATGATAATTATAATAATTTTGATAAGGGTGAGTTGTGATTTGCACCACTGTACCTAATTATAAAATCTTGGACCCTTTCATTTTGAGAACCACTGCTATAAAACAACCTTAACCTAGTAAACAAGTAAAATAATTTGAAGGATTTTTTCCAATTATGGCTAGAATGGTATACTGAGCCTCAAAAAAAAAAAAAACGACCAGTAAAAAGAGAGCATCTTATAAAGTTAATTTAGTTCTCACTCTTTCTTTATGATCTTGCACTTACCTCTGGTCCACTGGTTGGTGTAGCAGGTGGAGTCTAGCATGGGTCTACACTAGAAAAAAAGTGTTGGAGTTGAGCTAGAGAGGTAATGACTAACATGGCGCACCTGAGCCCTGTTGTCCCAATTATATTTATGTGATCTCTCAGTGCTTTTCTTTTGCCCTGAGCAGTGCACTGAGCATGTGTGTGTGTGTATATATGTGTATATATATATATATATGTGTGTGTGTGTGCACGCGCTGCTGTGACCAGATCAAGGCCAAAGCTGAGCAGAAAGTGGTAAATGAGAAGAAAAGCTACAATGTTATTTGTTTTGCAAACAGTTTTGTTTTATTGTCTGATTACCCTGCCAAGGACCCAAGCACGAATAAAGACGGTTGCAGTCAAAAATTAGTCTTTTCCCCTTGACTAAAGGTCTGTGACAAACGACTTAATCCAGGTTTAATATTATGATGCAAAGAGAAGACATTCTTTACTCCTTCCAGTATGATCACTTGGTTTCAAACAGGATATGCTGTTGTACGTAATCAGACATTTTCCAAATGGATCAATTTCTGCTCTTCTTTGCAAACCTCCTTTTTCCGTTTCAATTATATTTTGTTAGGCTTCTGCAGCAGTGATGCTATCCATTCATTGTTTGTAGATTGCACCAAACGCAAGGTGAATGTCTATGTGCATGAAATGTGAAATGAAATCCTTTGTTGTCATTGTATATCTCTGTATACATCGAAATTAGGAGCACTGCTTCTGACTGGTGTTATAAAAACAAACATATAACATTAGGCAATAAATAAGACTATAAAGTGAGTATACTGTATAGTGTAAAAGTATGTTTGTATGTACAGTAAGTATAAAGTATACACAGCAATAAGTGACCAGTGATAGTATTGCACATTACCCTCTACACTGGTGTAAACAGTTTAGTACAGTCACACAGAAGTACAGATTGAAATGGAATAAGTGACCGTAGTTGAGTAAGTGACCAGAGCTAGTAATTGCACATTTACATTCTACATTTAGTGCATTGAGAGTTGAGAGTCCTGATTAGTGAAGTGACCAGTATTGCACACTGACATTCTACATATGATATAAACAGCAAGTATAGACAAAAGTAGAGATTGATGAAATAAGTCACGGTAGTTGGACACAGTGATCAGAGGTAGTATTGTACATTGACAATTTACGTTTAGTGCATTTGTGAGTTTATAGTGCTGATAGCATTTGGGGAAAAAATGGGCGTGACCTAATCATTTCTGCTTCTGGACAGTACTACACTTTCCGCTCCGGGTTGGGCATTTCAGGCATTACTAATTGAAATTATTTGACTACGTACTAACTGACTTGTTTAAAGATACTATTCACACAAAATGTATAGCTATTAAGCCAGTGCTGCAGTGTGTGTCGATTAGAATAAGAATACAATATTCAGACTAGTGAGGGATGTGGTAGCTCAGTGGTTAAGCTGTTGGACTTCTGATCAGAAGGTTGAGAGATCAAATCTCCCAAGCCTCCACTGCTGGGGCCCTTGAGCAAGACCCTTAACTGCTCAGTTGTATAAGTGAGATAATTTTAAGTCACCCTGGATAAGGGTGTCTGCCAAATGCCATGAATGTAAATAAGGTGTTCTAAACAGATATGAATAGGAAGCACACTATTTTTGCTTTTTTTTTTTTTTAAATTAGTTTGCCAGAAAGGTTCACAAGTTGAATCCCGACGACACCACAGCCATCCGTGGCAAGGGTGTCCTAGAGAGCGAAACTGGCCGTATTCTCTGGGTGGGAAGCGCTTACTCTGTCTCCCGTGTCAATCATGCTATGCCATCATTTTCCTGTGGAGAGAGAGACCGGTCTGGTTCTGGACTTTGTACCATTCTGCTTTAATTATAGTTTAATCAAAGTAACAATTTGACCCTGTTTACATACTACCTTTCAAAGCGCAACCCCGAAACGCTGCATGAAGTCTCTCATTTTGTACAGGTTTCGCAGCAGAAAAATTATTTACACATTTATAATGACACGTGATTGAGGATATAAAGCTCTCCCACAATATGTCTGGATACCCTTGCTTCAAGGTTGGCTAATTTGCAGTACAAGCCAGTATGAAGTAGAAGAGTTTGAAATGACATATAGATGAACCTGGGCACCGCCAACACCTTCTTCGAGTTAGTTAACAATCTTGAAGAATGAATCGCGAATTTGCAGGACTTTGGAAAAAGTGGAGGAGAAAGGTCAACCCACTGCATTTATCTTGTGTGATCACTGGCAGTGACTAATTATGAATTGGGCCCATGGGTCACTGAAGCTGAAGCTAGCCGTGGGTCAGAATCCGTGTATTATCATCGCCAGAATGCATCGTGATCATGACAAAAATGGGACCTTTCACCTCAGTCATGAGAAAGCGCCATTGTATTACAAGGGCAGTGGGGTACACACACTCCCTGACTACACTGCGGAGGTGGATTCTCAGCAGCATGCGTTCGACACAATGTTTGAAAACCCACTGGGAACTCGGAGTGAAATTTCCTCTTCATTTTCCACCAAAGCTTCATGTTGAGAGCAATAAATTGGAGGAGACCTTCAAAATACCTAAAGCAGAGAGCATTTATTTTTAAATTATCAGTTTGAGAGGTTATTTAACTGTTAATTTATGAGTCTTGTTGCTAGGCCTAGATATGCACAGTTTAGCTAATTCATAACTAGGAATTAATAATAATACACAAAAATACATATTAAGTGTATTAAGTGTATTATTCACATATTCTAAAGCTGCTAGATGCTTCATGCTTTCCCTAAACTGAGTATACTTATTCTGACATGTCAGGCGTTTTTCCCTCCACTGTGGCATGAAGCAGGGCTGCTGAATAAGTTTGTCACTCCTTAATTTAGCACTAGAACTACTATACGTATATGGAAAACAATTTGTTGATTATTTGCTTTTGCACATCAAATTATCCTTCTTCTTACTGCTTCTTACTGTGGTATCAATGCTGGCTTTTTAACAATGCTTTTTAAAAAAAATAATGCAAGATCATTTTAAACAATAAAAGCAGATGAAAGCTACATTTTGTGCCATCCAAAACTCAAAAGCCCGTCCCTCGAAAGACTACTAAGATCCACAAAATGACATGTACAACTTCAAAAGTCATGATATCAGTGCTGATACTCTAAATAAAGTGAATAATACTGTTCCCACAAGAAGTAACACTCACCTCCTAAATCCCAAATTAGACCATGCTTATATCATCTTGCCTGAAATTGTCTTTGGCATGGTGGTGGCAATGAGGATCATACTGATGGATTTTCACAACCTCTCTAACATTTGAAAGTGTAAAAAATATTTACTCCAAAATGTGCGGGGGGGATACTTATGCAAGGCGCTGTATTATTTGGACTTACATAAAGCATGCAAGCTCCTGCAGAGGAAATACGAGCCCTTTTCAGCAGTAACATAACGCACTGGGGTGTTATGGCGCAGTTTCCACCTTCAGAAATGTTAAAGCAAACACGTGTAGTTACAGAAGACCAGCGGACTTTCTTTAAAAAGAAATAACCAGCGTCATGCAGTGAAAGATAATGAAGTGAACTTCATTTGTGACAAGAAAGCAAATTTGATTTCTATTATAAAACCCTATTTACAAACGTGTTTCCAGTGATTAGTTTAATAAAAAGTTTAACGTAACTATTAGTCTGCATGATTATGATTTGTAAATAATCGACACTTTAAAGTTGGTACCTCATTTCAAAGACATGAAGAAGGACTTAGGGTAGTACTTGGAAAAGGGGAACTCATTGAAAATGTGAATGCAAATAGAAATAAAACTTAAAATATAATACTGTATACTATTATTATACTGTATACTATTGTACTACTACTACTATTATTATTATTGTGTGTTCCACCTCGGCCACCCCACATTAACTCTGTGCCCTACCCCCAACTTGCCACCCCACATTAGCGCTTTGTCCCACCCCAAAATTGGCTATCGGTATCCCACCCCCAGTTGGCCACCCCACATTAGCTTTCTGTCCCACCCCCCTAACTGGCTATCACATGTTCAATCGGTATCCCACCCCCAGTTGGCCATACCACATGATCTCTGTATCTCAGCCCCAACTGGCCACCCCACATTAGCTCTCTGTCCCACCCCCAACTGGCCACCCCACACTAGCTCTCTGTCCCAGCCCCAACTGGCCACCCCACACTAGCTCTCTGTCCCACCCCCAACTGGCCACCCCACACTAGCTCTCTGTCCCACCCCCAACTGGCCACCCCACACTAGCTCTCTGTCCCAGCCCCAACTGGCCACCCCACACTAGCTCTCTGTCCCAGCCCCAACTGGCCACCCCACATTAGCTCTCTGTCCCACCCCCCTAATTGGCTACCACACATTCAATCTGTATCCCACCCCCAACTGGCCACCCCACATTATCTCTGTATCCCACCACCATTTAGCCACACTACATTAACTCTGTAGTCCACCTTGGCCACCCTGGTCAAATTGTTTTTGTTTTTAAAGAATTAATAAAAAGTAGAACAATCTGAAATACATTAAATATTTGTTTCTTGTTGAGAACCTAATAACATCAAAAACCTTTCCGACATTTCAGAGTAGCATTTTAAACCCCTTGATTGTATTCAGAGACAACCAAGAGACTCGTGGATAAAAATCGATAATCAGTGGTAAATTTGTGTTTCTCTCTTTCTCTCTCCATCCATCTCTTCTCTTTTCTCCTCTCATTAGCAAGCAGGTGTTTGGTAGTTCAGCACGATATCGATCCAGCGGCTTCATCAAAGTAGAAGATGTGAGGCAGCATTCAAGGAGGCTGTAGCGGCAGCAGAGCGTGGACAACTCAATCACTCTCACACACACACACACTCACTATCATATGGCTGAAAACTCAGTGCAACAACTTCAAACAACACACACACCTTATTATCCTTCTAAGAACCCACCACTGACATACTTATTAACACAGCTAATTAATGCTATGCCTACACCTGAATCTAACCCTAATCTTAACCTCAGTAAGTGAAATGAAACCTTTCAGCTCTTAGTTTTTTTGTTTAGTTTCAATTAAAGCTGCAGTTTTTGTTTAAAAAAAAAATGGGGACCAGACAAATAAAACTGTCCTATCCTTGTGAGGACATCTGGTCCTCACACTCTCAAAAACACACACACACACACACACACAGCTGTGTTTGTAATTCTATCTTTGGTGGGAATTTCAATTGAGTTGTGCGTTACCAGCCCCAAAAGTTATAGAGAGATAAAAACGTGGCTCACACACACACACACACACACACACACACACACAAAACTACTTCACCTTATCCCTGCTCTGCTGTGGAAAATTCCATTTACTCAAGACTCATCCACAGGTTGACAGAAACACACACATCCCTCCCTCCAGTTCGGAGCCGTCTGTGATGGTCCTGCTTTAAATAAGCCGAGTAGAGAGGTCTTTGTGTATCTCACCTCAGGCCTGCCTTCCAAACCAATATCTCCCTGATCTGAGATCTGAAAGTCTACATTTGGAGGTACTGAGTTCACCCAGGGCATACAATAATGCTTTAAAGGGTACAAATATAGATAGATATATATATACAGAGTCCACTATTGGTTATGCTTGAAGTGTAAAGATCTGTTTATCTTATCTCTTTACAATAAAGAAAGCTATCTTCCTCTTCATGCTTCATTCAAATGCTATGACATAAAAGCAAAAATTCACATTTTCTGAGTTGACACATTGGGCGTCATTTATCAATCTTTTAGTGATGTTGTAGATAGTTTTATAGGGCAAGCAAAAAGTTTCGGTAATGCCGATTTTTTTTCGTGCTTATGTGCATATGCTGATAAATGCCATTCGGCCCACAAAACTCCACAAAAGGCAAATCTCATAGAGAGATGAAAATAAAAAATGACACCATGCAAAAGGTGTCGCATGCACCAAGTCCTCCAATCCTCCAGCAATGCAGCTCAGCCACTGCAACATGTCAGCTACCATTACATACCAACTCTTGCTCATTTCTTTGGTCCTATTTGAATAGCTAGTCATACAGTATTTGACTTTACTGGCGTATTTGTTCTGGCTTGCTTTTGTTTAATATAAGAACGTTTCATTAAATTTGTGCATGCAATTGAAATAAATAAGCAATTGAAATTTGATAACGTGATCCACGTAGAACAAGCAGCTCACGCAAACGATATGATTTGAAGCTGATCAATCGAGATTCATATTAGCGAGTCGTCTTTTGCGGAATTTTACACAAACTCAGGAGTTCTCATAGGACACAAAACGTTCTTCCAAATAAACTGGACTTTCATGAATACCACATTTCTTGTGTAAATACGCCTGTGAACAATTTGCATTAATAATAATAATAATAGTTTTTCCTTTCCCTTTCACGATGTTATATACATATTCTCTAATTAAGTGTATAACAGGAGTATTCAAGTGGAATTTGTGAATGTCCAGCTACATAAAATTCCAGATAAGCAGCTAACATAACTG